GGGTGTCCATGGTCACTTATGGAGCTTGGTGGTCATCTAGTGGAAAACTCTGGTATTGCACCCAAACTAAATCATACTGAAAGCTATTTTTTTTTAGATATCAACCTCAAATTTGGAACTTTTAGTTTTGATTTTCTAGCCATTTTAGAGTTCTGTAAAATACAGTGTTGGGAAGGTTACTTTGGCAATGTAATAGGTTACAGATGACAAGTTACCCTATGCAAAATGTAATAAGTAGCATAATTATTTAAATTACTTTATTAATGTAACTGTTTTTTTTCACATCTATTGATAGTTTTCACATGACATCACACTTATAGGAACGCCCACCTGGAGGGCAAAACAAAGCTTTGCTCCACTGACACGGGCATGAAATTCAGTAAACACCTTATTGATGATGTATATTTTGTACAGACAAGCAGATGAAGCGGGAATATAAAAGTTTCACATTAAATGGTTTCCCACTGAAAACCATTATAGGAAAACACTGAACCATTAAGTGGATTGCGTTCATATTCCGGCCTCATCTGCTTGCCTATGTAAACTATGCATCATTAATATAGAAAATATTACTGTTTTAAATATATTAAAGGGTTAGTTCACCCAAAAATGAAAATTAGGCTGTGGTTTACTCACCCCCGAAGCATCCTAGGTGTATATGACTTTCTTCTTTCAGACGAATCCAGTCGGAGTTATATTAAAAATTGTCCTGGCTCTTCCAAGCTCTATCATTGCAGTCAGCGGGTGTTGCATGCATCAGTCCAAAACAACTGAAATAAAAAGCGCCCATCCATAAAAAAAATGTCTCACCCTTTGGGGGTGGGGGTGAGAAAAGGCCTCCTGTAGCGAATCGATGCGTTTTTGTAAGAAAAATATCCATATTCAAAACTTAATAATCACTTTAATGTAGCTTGCGCCAACAGGTGTACATGGAAGCAGCTCCGGGCGGATGACGTATGAGTTCAGTGTTGCGCATGCGCTGGTGAGTCTCGTGAAAACCAACGTTTGTTTACAGGATCAAAGGAAGCAAAGTTTCCTTGCTTTAGCAAAGGAAAACCAGTCTCCTCTTGGCTTATATCGAAATCCTCTGACATTCTTTTTTACAAATCCTCGTTTTGTACTTCTAATAAGTAACCGTTGTTTTGATCTCTCCCCTGCGCTTCCGTGTTCATCACTTCTGAGCGGCGCATGCGCAAAAGCTGAACTCGTACGTGATCCGCCCGGTTATTTTTCTTACAAAAACGCATCGATTCGCTACAAGAGGCCTTTGTTCATCCCCCGGAGCCGTGAGAGACACTTTGTTTTATGGATGGACGCTTTTTATTTCACTTCTTTTGGACTGAAGCACTGCAACACCCGCTGACTGCAATGATAGAGCTTGGAAGAGCCAGGACAATTTTAAATATAACTCCCGACTGGATTCGTCTGAAAGAAGAAAGTCATCTACAAAATACACTCGATGTTACAGCCACTGCCCTTGCAGTCCAGAATAAAAGAGAACATCCCAATCCAGTGAAGGGATTTGTGGAAACTGTGGTTCCTAATTATTGTGATCCAACATTTGCCTCGCATTTCAGGATGAAAAGACAAACATTTCAGGTGAAGAATAATCCACTTCTTACCTCCGAGACGTGATGTGTTATGATCTATATGACTGTATTATTTTTATTGTGAGTATTAGGCTTATCATTATTGCTGATCTCTGTTGTTGTGCTATGTTATTGTAATATTTACCATTATATAATCAGAGGAGTATAGAAAAGTTTATGAAAGTGTCACTCCACAAAACAATAGCAAAATATATAAATATGTATAATATATTTATGTTACATTAATCAGTATTGAGCACATCTTCCTAAGGAAAGGATATGGACCAGAAGACATTGCAATTACTAAATGATATTTAGACAGACTTAAAAAAGTTCCAGATCTATACTTTTGCTCTTATTATTTCAGTTATGTTGCCTGTAAATAAACATGTGCAAACAATATACTTGCTCTTGTGAATTTATTTTGATGTTAATTGCACTGTACCAGCTGTCTCTTTAATACCGCGTGGTTTATATACATGTTGCTGCTGATTGGGCTGACATTTTTGAATCACCAAACAAGAGAAAATGTATCTCAAACCCCATTGCACACCGTTTCCAGGAAACATGTCGTTCAAACCGGAAACCGTAGCAAAATGTTGCGCACCGGTTTGAGCTTGAACTTGCCCCAGGTCTTCAAGCCGGTCATGTGACTGAAAGCTATGAATTATAACCTCAACGATTTCTTCTCCTCTGAATGCACATGCGTGCGTCGTTATATACTCTCTTGAACAAACGGCAGAGACAGGCACGGAAGAAAAGAAATAGTTAAATAAAATCATTCATTTTGTTTTCATTGTGCACAAAAAGTATTCTGATAGATTCATAACATTACAGTTGAACCACTGATGCCACATGGACTATTTTAACAATGTCCTTACTACCTTTCTAGGCCTTAAACGTCTCAGTTGCGTTGCTGTCTATGCAGGGTCAGAAAGTTCTCAGATTTCATCAAAAAATAAGGTCTTATGTGTTTGGAACGACATGAGGAATTAATGACAGCATTTTCATTTTTGGGTGAACTACTTCTTTAAATAATATTTAGTGCAAAAAAATCACAAAAACACAAGCTTACTGTATTTTATTTTCTGAAAAAAGAGTGCAAAACATATGACATACCAGTATGTACAGCACATAATAAAAGGATGCAATCACGTGACCTCGTCCACCTCGTCTATCATCGACTGTTTAGGGGTAACTATTTACAAAACGAAATAGTCACACGTTTACCTTTACAGTAGAGAAACCAAATACAAGATACAGTCCTAGGCCAGCAGGCCTCATTAAAAAAAGGTTCAAAAGGTTCAAAACTTACTTCCTTACTAAACAGAGCCCTCTGCTGGCTAAAAGTGAAATTGCATATGATCCACTTTTCATCCCTCCCCTATCTGTGACAGACAGCATCGTCTTCTTTCAGATGTGCCTTTATTAAGATACCTGAAAAATACCTTCAGAAAATTCCCTGGAAATATGCATCGATAGACTGGGTGTGAAGTATAGCAGCCTGTATATGATACACAATAGGTCGCGTTAGAACCAGATACCTACAACTTTTCTCTTTACGGTACCCAGAAATAAGGGTAGAACATTTACACTGTTGATAGAGGTATATGTATGTGACTTTGGGTTTTGTTTGGCTAAATCTACCAGAATACGAAAACAGTATTGGACTATCTGAATTTAATGAGCATGTTGCTATTATTAGCTGAACTCTTTCAAACTTTGTTTTTCCATGAAAATGTGAATGGTACTCATACAAGAGTCGTGCTATGGTGTTTTGGGTGGTTGCTAGATGGCTACTTACTGGCCTAAATCAAGAGTCCACATCCAATCCCTCATTCAACTCTGGGATTTTTAGGGCTTTTATTACCCACCAAAGTGAAAACTGTATGATAACTTAGAAAAGTAGCCCACCCTCCTTAACAGATTTGTACTGTATGAGGTATAATTCATATCTGTTGGACAAACGGATGATTTATGCATCAAAATAGTGAGTTTTAGTAAAACTTCTAATCTTAAATATGATCAATATGCATTAGCATAAACCACTTACACAATGATCCTCTATATATTAGTTTGTAACGTATTGCTATAACATTACTTTGAATGTTTGAATGAATAATCAAATGTCTTTGTTGACTTGCAATAGATGATCTGGACATGGACTTGATCTGTAAAGTTTAGCTATATGGGTCTCTTAAATAATTTAATTAGAATTTTCTTAAAGTCCAAAGGATAATAATTTAGTTTTTCATGTCAGTTTCCACCCTCTTTCTGATGTTGGAATTAAACGTGCTGTTTTTGTGCTGCTGTGCCTTTAAGACTTTATGCAAATGTACTTCTTTGCATGTGAAATGAGAAACACATGAGCGGTGGGGTTGCTAATATGGTTTACTCTGCCCCATGTAACTGATCCATAAAACAATGTGCTGTAAATTAACTTGTTTCCAGCATTGGGATCCTTTTGAAGGATCTGCAGAGCAGTAGGTGCTACACACAGCCAAAAACATCACAATATGTGGTGGATTTCACCACTTTCACAATTTTACTCTTATCATTAGCTCTTCTGGGTTTTAGGAGAATGACTGCACACCCAATATGTGAAGTGGGTAGTCATATGTTAATGAGCTTGCCAAGTTTCAATAAATGCGTTTTTGTTTTTGCACTGGATTTTTAAATTCTGATCGTTATATAATGAACTCTGTAATTACAAATAAGGAAAGTCTCATTCCTAATGATATGACCTATTCAGACAAAAATAAAACACCCAGAATGACAGAAAGAGAGGCATGTCTTCTACCTTACACTTCTTCTCTAACACATACAGACATCAACGCGCTCTGAGAAGCAATGCTGTCAGACCTGCAGAGAGTGTGAATGTGAGCATCTGTTACAAACTCATTAAAAAGGAAGGCCCAATTTCTTACCGTAACTGTCGACTCCATTTCTATCGATAAAGCCATGACAATACCGAAAAAACAACAGCACGGAAGTGAACCCAAAAAATGAGCAAAAAATAAGACTCTTTATCCAGCAGACATCTGTTTGAATTCATGGTTTGGCAACTTACATTCAGACATTTTAAAAGTGAGCATGTGTTCAGTCTATTCCAGCAATAAATCGTGACTATGTAACGTCAATGCAGTCTCATCTCCAGTACAGAGACGCGTCACCTCTGCAAGACATCTTTGCTTTTTGTCGACATAAAAGCTGACGGAAACTAAATTATGGATTCACATAAAACAGGATTCAGACCTATTAGGGTTAAAGTCAACTTGCACTTCATCCCATTCCCTCTTGATTGAAAAGGAAGTGCCCTTGGTCACCACTGAAAAAGGGATTTTGGCTTTAGATTTTTATTTCATTCCATTGCTGCAGTTCACGACTGTGTTCTTTAGGGGCTGCTATCATGCTCGCATAAAGCCTGTCCTCTTTTGTGCCTTGTTTAGTGGAGTGAGTCCCTCAATGTCATGTTCTCCATTCCCCCCCCCCCCCCAAAAAAAAGCATGGTCCGGTCCAGGAGTAGGAGTGACAGGAAGGTCAGGGATCATACCATTTGTGGGTGCGGGGGTGCTATAATTCACTGTGTCGTACAGGAGGTTCTAGCTTGTGGGACAGAGCGGTGAGGACCTTGTCAAACTTCTCATAGCGCTCGGCCTGGCTTCCTTCAGAGCCACGACTGCCCCATAAAAGCCTCATTTGAAACTCTGTACAGAAGATTTCCAGCACCTCCTTCCGCTCCTGGAAATCTGTGTGGAGACAGATTGTGAACAACACATAAAGTATGTTAAAATAGGACTAGTGCACTGCAAATTACAGTATGTGCCAGCATGCTATATTGTATATATCTTCAAAGTGTACATCCATGCATGCTTTTTAGGCTAATATTAGTAAATTATTATTTATTAAGTTCAGTTTAATAATTGTGTTTAATAGTAAATACTTGGATTTGATATTTTTGTTAATAGTTTACCCTGTAGTTTGCTCTCAGCGTTGGTGCGATACAGTCCTCCATGGTGAGCGATGGTTCGTGCTGCTTCCAGGTGACTCATGACCACGTCCACTCCAGACTCTACGCTCTCCCAGGACTCCAGCGCCTCGCCTGCCGCCACACCACGCTCCAGCAGCGACAACACCGGCACCACGTGAGGGAAAGAGGTGTTCGAGAGGACACAGGTCTCTGAAAGATTAATACATAGTTATAAATAAATAAATACCTCCCTACCTACATACATAAATAAATCTATATATATATATATATATATATATATTTACCAATTACTTATTAAAGATTGATAAGTAAAATGAAAATGAAAATGATAGTTTATAACAATCATTATATTTATATTATTATCAATTATATTTATTTTATATAATATTATCTGAGGGTATTTCAAATAAATAATTTACTTGGACATGAACTCAAATACAGTAATGTTAATAAATAAAACAATAAATCTAGTAAATTACATCAATATCAATTGTAATGAATATTAATTCCATTAATATTAAGAATTAATGGTTGACCGATATTGATGTCTTCGATGTTGATATCGATATCTTAGAAAGCAGTAAAGCAAATACCATATATAAAAATATACGGTACATTATTTTTCACAATTTAATTCAAATAACATGCAGAATTGCTGCAATTAAATTTAGATTTATTTTAAATATTTAAATAAAAAATAAATCAATATTGCAATATGTATTACTGGGAATAATATTTTCTCAAATAAAGACCAGGTAACACTCATTTTACAAACAGAACAATGACATATGACATGAATATGACATAACAGCAAACTGGATATAACACAGCATAGTTTGAAATCATGAATTTAAAGATTGCCCTCATGTCTGAACACAGGTGCTGCTGTTCTTATCACTATCAAAATAAAAGTCCTGCCACTGTCAAAATAAAATCTCCTTCTGACACTTATCAGCAAAATAAATAAATAAATACAAATAAAAAAATAAATAAATTAAACAAATAATTACCGGTCAATACAATACGGCCTTTGGAGATATATCAATCAACCACTATGAAGAAAAGCACTATATTGTCCCTGTAATTCTTTACCAATTTCTTAGGAGTTGCTAATGTCACTAAGAATAATCTTCTGTAGAAGGTTATTTAAAGCACTCTGTCCTACCTTTCCCATCATTCATGGCCTTCAGGAATGGCTTGAGTTTCTTCTCATAGAGGATTGCACCTTCTGTGTGTCTCTGTCGCAGTGTGATCCACGTCTGCTCGAGCCGTGAGATCTACAACAAACATCACAGAATATATATAAATATATAACTGAAATATATCCAGAATTACTTCACAGCTGTGTGTTTACTGGAAATAACTGCAACCTTACAACCTTATTCATCACAAGTTGCAAATGACGAATAATGCATCTAAACAGTACTTACACTTTGATATACATTTTATGTTTCGTTTTAGTTAGCGGTGTTTAAAGTGATAGTTCACCCAAAAATGAAAATTGACCCATGATTTCCTCACCCTCAAGCCCAGTGCACAGTATATGACTTTCTTCTTTTAGATGAATACAGTTGGAGTTATATTAAAAAATGTCCTGGCTCTTCCAAGCTTTATAATGGCAGTGAATGGGTGTCGAGATTTTGAAGCCCAAAAAAGTGCATCCATCCATCATCAAAAAGTGCTCCACACGGGTTAACTTCTGAAGAGAAGCGATGCGTTTGTGTAAGAAAAATATTCATATTTAAAACTTTCAAAGAAGGCCTTCATTAACCCCTGGAGTCGTGTGGAGCACTTTTTATGATGGACAGATGCACTTTTTTGGGCTTCAAAATCTTGCCAAAATTCCATTATAAAGCTTAGAAGAACCAAGACATTACTCTGATTGTATTCGTCTGAAAGAGGAAAGTCATACACACCTAGGATGGCTCGGGGGTGAGTGACTCGTGGGGTAATTTTCAGTTTTGGGCGAACTATCCCTTTAAAGAGAGCATTAAGCTTTAACGCTTAACATGAATGGCACCTCATATGCTGTGGTGTGAGAGGACAGGTGTGCGTTCTCACCTGCGGCAGCTCCAGGGCTCTCATGACCGCAGCGAATCCGTACATGTTGCCCATGTTGCTCTTGAGTTCAGCAGCCAGCTGGATGGTTTTATGCAGGAGGGCGGCTCTCTCCTCTGTGCTGCCCGTACAACCCAACAAATCTACCGCCATCATTATAGACATGGTGTAAAACCTGTTGAACAGGAGACAAAGCTGATCACTCAGATATATTCAACACAGCTTTTGAAAGAAGTTTCTTCTGCTGTCACATGATCTTTCAGAAATCATTCTAATATGCTGATGTTCACCTAAAAAATGCCAATCTGCTGGTTGAAATAGAGTTAATTACTGGTCGACATAATTAAACATCATTGGCTGCTGATGCCTTCAGAACAGCTGAAGTCTGTGGTGTGTCCTGATGTTGATATCTGTGTATGAGTGCAAGTGTTTCCTCACCTCTCCAGCAGATCCAGCCTCAGCTGGTGTCCATGCGGAAGAGTCAGCAGCTCCAGCCCCGAGCTCACTCCCATCATCCTCTGCATCTCCTTGGTAACGCCCAGTATCCTAGCAACCTGCAGATGGCCACACAGTTACACGAGCAATATATTCAACCCCATCCCTTTATCGGAGACAAAGCTGATCACTCAGATATATTCAACACAGCTTTTGAAAGAAGTTTCTTCTGCTGTCACATGATCTTTCAGAAATCATTCTAATATGCTGATGTTCACCTAAAAAAAATGCCAATCTGCTGGTTGAAATAGAGTTAATTACTGGTCGACAGAATTAAACATCATTGGCTGCTGATGCCTTCAGAACAGCTGAAGTCTGTGGTGTGTCCTGATGTTGTTATCTGTGTATGAGTGCAAGTGTTTCCTCACCTCTCCAGCAGATCCAGCCTCAGCTGGTGTCCATGCGGAAGAGTCAGCAGCTCCAGCCCCGAGCTCACTCCCATCATCCTCTGCATCTCCTTGGTAACGCCCAGTATCCTAGCAACCTGCAGATGGCCACACAGTTACAAGAGCAATATATTCAACCCCACCCCTTTATTTCCATCCTAATATATTCACAGTCAGAGCAGAAGACATTTAATTAGCCTTGAACTCGTCACATGATAAATGTGGTAAACAGCAGTGTGGAAAGAGTTTATTAACCCTGAAGGTTTCGATGTTAATGGAAGACAGCACTGAGAGCGCGGGCAGATGAAAGGTTCGAGATGCCGTCCAGACTTTATCAGTCAGCTTCACATGTGTCTTACGTAATGTCGTCTGCTCTCAATGATCAGAATTATAAATATGCACCCAACCAAAACCTATCTAAAGCTATCTAACTAAACCCAACTAAAAGTCTATATACTGTATATATATATATATATAAAAACTGAACCTGGGCTATATATGTAAAAATATGAAAAACACAATGGTTGTGTTTTTTGACCTAGTTATACATTTGTGAACAAAACAAGTAAAAAAATTTGTCTAGAAAATTGATAAAAAAAATATCAGCAAGAAACTATTAATTAATAGAAACTAAATAATATTTTTTACAATTATAAAAAATAAAAAAAAACTTTTACATTAAATGTTAAAAAATTGTGCCTCACATCAAATCGTCTGTTTGTGCATTGAATAAAATTCCAATACAAATGTAGGAAAAAAAAAAAAATCCTGACATGGCCCAAACTTTTATCAGCAACATTTCAATCAACTGACCTTCTTATCTCTTACGTAACCCTGAAAAAGGTTCATTGACTGAATTGTTTTATTACGAACACTAAACAATACTCTTTGCTTTGTATATAATTCTTGAGAAGCAGTGAATCAACACACTGAAGATGGCCAATAGCCGAAACGTGTTATAATGTTTATTTCCTGCCAAAATTCAATAAATATTCTTATAGAGTGCACAATTTTTATTTTATGGTTAAAGATGTATTGTTCTTGTCACCTGATTAACGCGGTGACTGCATTGATTGAACCACTGCTAATAAAATTGGGTAATAATGTATATAGGGAAACATTGAATTATAGCCACTGAGTGTCAGTTTCTTCCGTATTTATTTGCATTTTTTACCGTGCAATCTGCCTTGGTGATGTGCTTGGCGGCTGTTTTGGGATCCACCTCCGCCAGCAGCTCCTTTACCCTCTTCAACACGCTCATCTCCAGAGGTTTATTCTCGGCTGGCAGAAGAGTAGACTGGTATTTCCCAGGCTTGAAGGAGGAGGTGGTCTCCACCAGGGGGAGCATGAAGCCCTCCACCCCGTCTGGGGCTCCAGAGCCTGGGCTTTGGCTCTCCTCCACCCTCAGCCTCTCTACGTAGCTCTTGCAGGGAGGAATGGGGGCTTGACCGGGTCTCAGCTCACAGTAACTGCCGCCCTGCTCTGAACGCTCAGACGGGTAACCGTGGGCAGGCGTGGAGTGGGTGCTGGGGGGCGCGTCTGAGCAGGGAAGGTTGTTATTGGAGGAGGATGGTGAGAGATGGGGATCGCTGGAGCGGCGCATCACTGGAGAAGGCGGGATCACGGCGAGGACACGCCCTCCTGAGCCATGTCTGTGGCGGGAAACTGGAGAAACAAACAAAATAACAGATTTTACTACACAGCTCTCTGAAATGCTTGATTCTGATTGGTCGGTTGCAACATTCCAAGTTCATTTGCAACCGCTGTGAATAGCAACGCTGTATAATGACCGCTCAACCTGATTCTGGCTCTTCTTATACGTCTTTCATATCACACCACAGGCATGCTCTCTCTGTTTCATTCAAACACAGCTAGTGTCATCGTGGCCCTCAGTAATTGACTGCATTTAAAATGAAACTGGAGGACTTCAGTATTAAGGGGGTGTTCATACAGAATGCAGTTTTAAACATTTATTTTTGGCATTTTATGCCTTTTATTTAGAAAGGACAGTAGGTCGACAGGAAGCGAAGTGGGTGAGAGAGAGGGGGATGGGATCGGCAAAGGTCCGCAAGCCGGGACTCGAACTCAGGACGCCCAAAGCGCAACGATGATACATGTCGGCGCGCTGCCCACAATGCCATCGGCGCCAACCAGAATGTTTTTTTGAGTTTAAAAATGTCAGGCGCTGGTAATGAAATGAAAAAGGTCTATAAATGAGTTTTTTTAAAAATGGAACTTCATTCAAATTGAGCTCAGAATTTTTAGAATGTGAGATGCTGCAAAAGTGGAATGCAAAGATTTTCTATCTAAACATGCACTAGATGGACCTGTTTGACCATATTTCTCGAATCTTTTACAGCGTCTCGCACATGACACGGCATACTATAAATGCGCCACTCAAGTTAAAAGTTCAACTTTTATAAAATTGTCTATAGACAATTTTTTTCTGTTTCATTTTACATTTTGTGGCTAAAAACAAATTCAAGGTTTAGAGACATGTTTTTCAAAAGTTTATCTTCTTTTCATTAGTTTTGTGTGAATGACCCCCAAATGTAGGCCTATGGTTATATTGTTGTAGTGTTCGTCTCATTGGCAGAATGATTGTTTTGTTCATTGGAACGGGCTGTTCACATAGAATGCGTTTTTTCTATTCCACTGCACTACTTTCCATGTAATCATGTTCTAGATTGACGTGTTTGACCGTTGTGTTCGCGTCTTGCTTCTTTTCAGCGTCTTGCTTCTTTTCAGCGTCTTGCACAGTTCACAATGTTTTAAAAGCATGGTGCTCAAGTTGAAGTAAGATCTTCATTAAAAAAAAATGCCTTGCGTTTTTTCCCATTCCACTGCCTGCAATGCATTCAGTGTGAATGGCAACTAATGGATTATAAAATAATAAACAAAATTTCTTCTCAAATCAATATTTCATGTCCCCGTTATTATTTAAGTGCCAAACATTTGTGTAATATGTGTATTAAGTCTCTTAAATGTCAGTCTCGTTTGAATTTGTTTGCTCATCTTGGCTTAAAGCTTGTCAAGAACGTTTTTTTTTCTTTGTGGAAGCTTTGCGTTTAATGAGCTAATAACATATTTCAAATCAAATCAGCAATTCACGCGTCAAGGTCCTGATCACCATGTCTAGGTTTATTTTCTGATAACAACCATCTGGATATATATTATTCTTTACATTATGGGTGAGCTAACACTTAAAAGGTGCGATCAGTGGGTTTAAATATTCAGATATATGCATGAGAGTGTGTGTGGACTCACTGGAGCTGTAGGCAGGTGATAGAGGTGTTTCCCCCACAGGGGACAGCGGGCAGCGGTACTCTTGGATCTGATCCATGCTCATGGCGCAGTTCCTCATGGCATCCTTATGGTGCACTGTAGAAGGGCTGGAAAGGACAAAACATGCTATTAAATCCTTCATTCTTTATGTCAAAACACATTTTACATGTCAAAACAATCAGCATTTTCAGCTTCTAATTTTGGTGAACAATTTATAAGCCACAGTTACAAGCTTTGTGAAGAACACATTTAGTGCTATTGTGGTGCTAGAGACGACATGCACTGAAGCAGGTGAAGGGTTTCCATGTGGCCAAATCTGTTTGGAAACAGAAGTGAGTGGGAGGGGGTCTGTGCCAGCTGTGAACAAACACACACACACACACACACACACACACCAGCTGCTTCCCTCCGCTGGTTTCACCACTGGCTCGACTGTCTGAGGCTCATCTGGCTCTGTAGACTGTGTCGCACTGATAATACAAGACATCCTACATGAGCACATCACTTCTGCATCTTTGGCACATGTGTATATGACCTATTAATATGCCTGATCTCAGACCTGAGACATCTGAACCTGTTCAAGATTAGGATATATATACTTAAGACATATTCAGAACAAAACAATGTTCTTTTGAGACTCTGAACCAATTTATGAATAATTGAATATGGTTAGAAAACAGAAAAAAAAACACAAAACAAAAACAAACAAACAAAAAACAAACAAATCATTTTAATATCTTACTTTGAGTTTTTTATTGAAAGTGAAAGTGTCTCTGAACCATTTTAGTTTCTGGTGGTCACTAAAACATTAAATGAATATGATAATCAAAGAAAAAATCTTGACCAGAATATGTTTAGGAAACAAAAACAAAACAAAAAACAAACAAAATGTTATTTTGAGACTTAACCAATTTAACTCACTAAAACAATTTAACTCCTGGTGATCACTAAAAACATTAAATGAATATGGTTACAAAACAAAACAACAAAAACAAACAACTAAACAAAACCAAATAAAACAAACCAAACCATTATTTTGAGACTCTGAACCAATTTAACCCCAGATGGTCTCTAAAAACAGTACATGAATATGGTAAAAAAACAAAACAAAACATTTTAATATCTTATTTTGAAACTCTGAACCAGTTTAAATCCCGTTAGTCACTAAAAATACTAAATTAATATGGTTACAAAACAAAACAAAACAAAACAAAAATGTTACTTTGACACTGAATCAATTTAACTCCTGGTGGTCACTAAAAACACTACATGAATATGGTAACAAAACAAAACAAAACATTTTAATATCTTATGTTCAAGATTAGGATATATATACTTAAGACATATTCAGAACAAAACTATGTTCTTTTGAGACTCTGAACCAATTTATGAATAATTGAATATGGTTAGAAAACAGAAAAAAAAACACAAAACAAAAACAAACAAACAAACAAAAAACAAACAAATCATTTTAATATCTTACTTTGAGTTTTTTATTGAAAGTGAAAGTGTCTCTGAACCATTTTAGTTTCTGGTGGTCACTAAAACATTAAATGAATATGATAATCAAAGAAAAAATCTTGACCAGAATATGTTTAGGAAACAAAAACAAAACAAAAAACAAACAAAATGTTATTTTGAGACTTAACCAATTTAACTCACTAAAACAATTTAACTCCTGGTGATCACTAAAAACATTAAATGAATATGGTTACAAAACAAAACAACAAAAACAAACAACTAAACAAAACCAAATAAAACAAACCAAACCATTATTTTGAGACTCTGAACCAATTTAACCCCAGATGGTCTCTAAAAACAGTACATGAATATGGTAAAAAAACAAAACAAAACATTTTAATATCTTATTTTGAAACTCTGAACCAGTTTAAATCCCGTTAGTCACTAAAAATACTAAATTAATATGGTTACAAAACAAAACAAAACAAAACAAAAATGTTACTTTGACACTGAATCAATTTAACTCCTGGTGGTCACTAAAAACACTACATGAATATGGTAACAAAACAAAACAAAACATTTTAATATCTTACTTTGAGTCACTGAACTCAATTTAACTTAAAACACTAAATAAATATGGTTACAAAACAAAACAAAACTATTTTGAGACCAGTTTAACTTCTGGTGATCACTAAAAACATTAAATGAATATGGTTACAAAACAAAACAAAACTATTTTGAGACCAGTTTAACTTCTGGTGATCACTAAAAACATTAAATGAATATGGTTACAAAACAAAACAAAACAACAAAAACAAAAAAACAAACAAAACAAACCATTATTTTGAGACTCTGAACCAATTTAACCCCAGATGGTCTCTAAAAACACTGCATGAATATGGTAATAAAACAAAACAAAACAAAACAAAAATGTTACTTTGACACTCTGAATCAATTTAACTCCTGGTGGTCACTAAAAACATTACATGAATATGGTCACAAAACAAAAAAGGCAGTATGAGTTTGCTACATTATTACGTAAGATGATGATGATAATGATAATGATGAAGGTTTACCTGTGAGGAATGATCTTCTCCGTCGTCAGTCCATCCGTCATAGTAACACTTCGTCTCTTGATGTGCGCCCCCCTCTGGGTCGATGGTGAATGTGCAGATCCCGGTCTCCCACCGGCCAAAGCAAACGTCGCCTCCAGGTACCTCAGCGGCAACGTTCGGTTGACCGGACACAGCAGCTGAGCTCCAGTGCGTGGGCACACGGATCGACCCGTGCCAGAGTGGTGCCTGACCAGCGTGGGGACAGAGTCGAAGCTCTCATGCTCCAGCATGTACTGGATTTTGGTTTGCCCGCTTTTGACCAGGACTTTACTGATCCGACAATGGATCACTTCCTGCTGCCAGCGACATGTGAGGACATAGTCACCCATGGTCGACAGGGAGTCCCGTACGAGGAAGTCACCGCTACGCAGAACCAAAGTTTCTGAAGCCTGTGTTGACACAAAAGAAAAGGGATTATTACAGGAAATGTTGCAAGCTGGACTCAAACCTAAATTTCCCACACGCACCCCAGCTCAACGTGCCACTTTTTTCACTTTTTTTCCCCCTGTAGAAATGTATCAATTTTATTTTAAACACATTTTAAATTCAAATAAATTCATTAAAATGACATTCTGTGACATTTGCGTTAACATTTTTACATCACTGTGAATCGATAGAATAACATGTATTTTACACAAGTTTTAAAAGATAGTGCTACATTTGTGCTGCATGCCTCTGTTCCAGCAGATGGTGCAACAGCACATTTGGTGAGGTCAGAAGTGCAGCATGGGGGCGTATCACCATGGCGACTAGCTATATTTTTTTTAATAGAGAGGGCTGGAGTTTCTCTTTACTCCAGCTTGAGCATGAATACATTATGCTAATGCCCAGATGCCTTCTCTCATAGTAGAGACAGTGTGGGCTGTAGTTTGACAGCTCTATGGTGCAAAAATGACACAAACACACTCTCTCACAAACACACCGACATAAAAACCCAAATAAACATGCACAAAACAAGCAAACACACACAGAAAACACTTGAAAACTGCTAACAAAGCTTTTTATTGAACAACTTCTCCAGTTGCACACTTGTTTGTATATCATGGTGTGGACTTCTCTCCGACGTCCATTGTTCTCAAAGTTGAGGCGTGTAATCTTTTTGAAGTTAAAATACTTTTATCCATTACTGCTTAATATGCAGAGATAACTAGAAGTCTTTTGTTGGCAGTTTCCCGAAGCGTGAAACACTGGCACTTGCTAGTCCTCTGTTTGTTTGAGATAACAGTTTGGGATTTTGGGAAGGCATAGCCATAGATGGTAGACAATCCTTTCACTGAACATGTGATGCATATTGCACTCAAAGACTGCCTGAAATCACCAGTTCAGATTTGATTGACTAGCTTTAAACAACTTCCAAGATTAAGGACACACGAGTTTTCAATGGTCTACCTAAAACATAAAAAGGTACCGGGATGATGCAACAAGCACTTTTGAGGATGAAATAAATCACCATCAAATCTTTGAAAGTTATTAAGAGTGTTTTGAAGCTCCCAGTAGCAAATAAACTACACTCTCAAAAATAACATTTCTTTAATGGCATTGATGTTCCATGAAGAACCCTTGACATCAGCTGAACCTTTCCATTGTATAAAAGATTCTTTAAATTATTCAAATGTTCCTTACACTTATAAACAAAATGGTTATTTTAAGAACTGTTCACTGAAAGGTCCTGTCAGTTCTTTTGGGCTTCTTCTATAGTATCGCTGCGCAAATAATTATTTAAACTATAAATTCACAATTGCTAGAAAAAAAGTCAGAATGGTGAGACAAACTCGCAGTTCTGAATTTTTTCTTGCTATTGTGAGTTTGTCTCACAATTCAGACTTTTTTTCTCAGAATTGCATGATATAAACTCAATTGCGAATTATAATGTCAGAATTGCTGGACATAAACTCACAGTTGCAACAAATAATGTCGGAATTCGCAAGATATAAACTTGCAAATCTGACTTTTTTTCTCGCATTTCTGACTTCTTTTCTCAGAATTGTGAGATATAAACTCGCAAATTTGAGTTATAATGTCCAATGTTGCAAAAAATACTGACTATCTTCTTACAATTGCAAATGTATATCTCGCAATTCTGACTTTATATCATGCAATTGTGACTTTATATAATGCAATTCTAAGAAAAAAGGTCAGAATTGTAGGTGCAAACTATGAGATGAAAAGTCGCAATGACCTTTTTTATTTTTACTCGGTGGCGGAAACAAGCTTCCATAATTTTTGTACACTGGTTCATTATTGTGGTTTAACCAATTTTACACAAATCCACCTCCAAATCCGAAAGGAGCTTTGTCCTCATTTTGCATCAGTTTCTTTTTGTCTAACGGTCCAGAATAGTTATCAAAGTGGACCAAACCCTATTCCGTTTAGTCAAAATTCTGGCTGCATGAGTACAAATCTTGATGCACAAACGCACCTCTCGTGGAATATGGCCATGGTACCAGCCGTGGCTCCTCATGTCACTGCTACTGAGTTTGAGCTCCTCCTCCAGCTCTTTCCTGAGCTTCTCCGGGGGCGACTCCAGCAGGTACTTCTCCTTGGAGAACTGCAAAAAAAAAAAAAAAAAACACAAAACGAGCACATAAGTCACACTGCCCTACTTCATGAACACGGAAACATGTGATACAGCAAACTATTGATCACTCTGAGAAAAAAAAACATTCTTGAACAACAATTGTAAGGTTTATTGCCTCACTTATCAAACTGACTTATCAATCCATGTAAGAAATTAACAAGTATTTTGAGTCACGAAGAGCTTCACTGCACATAGTTCTTCTTTATAATTTATGTAATGTCCAGCCAGTGTTGGGGGTAATATATTACAAGTAACGCAATTTACGTAATCAAATTACTTTTTTCAAGTAACTAGTAAAGTAACGCATTACTTGTTAATTTACAAGAGAATATCTGAGTTACTTTTTCAAATAAGTAACGCAAGTTACTTTTTTTCCAATTTATTGATTGACAGCTCTCCTGTCCCCATGTTGAGAGAAATCAGAAGATGTTACTGTAGTTCTAAAACAAATATGAATATGCATTAATTCATCTCACTCACAAAAAACAACAACACATATTCAGTATTAAAATAATGCAACTCAGAATATGACGCAAACCTGCAATAATTAAATGTTAAACAACACAAATATCCTTTATGTATTGAATTCCATTCTATTAACCAATGTCTTTGCTGCTGACCTTCGATGATCCAGTTCAACCGTACTAATAAGAAGAAATGACTTATTACTTTGTGTGAGTTTTTTTATTGCTGAAGTGTGTTGAAATGTCTTCTTCTGCATTCTACTGTACGGACGTAAATTTACTTTCCCTTCAGCCCGAGGCTTATTCATTTCACTTTTGGTGTGACAAGGCTTTTATATTTGCCAAAAATATAACTTTTTTTTATTTTAAAAACAAACAAGCAAGCCCTGTCCAGATTTAAAAAGTAACGCAAAAGTAACGTAACACATTACTTTCCATAAAAAGTAACTAAGTAACGTAATTAGTTACTTTTTTATGGAGTAACGCAATATTGTAATGCATTACTTTTAAAAGTAACTTTCCCCAACACTGTGTCCAACCCTGTCGCTAAAAACAAATAAAAGCATACAACTACACATTGCAGAATGAGACTTCCTTTTCTCACCCAAAGAATTGTCCCAAGTGTGTCCATTTAGACAATGGCACTCTGTGTCCAGTAGAAATAATGTGTAATCTATGAGCGTGACAGTTCAAGGCGAAGGTCTCGACCCTCTGTGACACAGGAAAACTAATCCAAACACAGGCGGCATTGTAATGAAGTCAATAAAAAGACAACGGACAAAGCTTAGGGCAAAGTCTGTGAATATGGGAGATGCGGGATCAATTTAGCAATCCTGGGTCACTCTAATGGTCTCTTCCTCTCGCTGTCTGAGGTAAACCGATTAAACATCTGCTTCCTTTCCCTCTTCGACCGTCTTTTACACATGGGAACAGGAAAAGATGCTAGATTTCAGCAATCCCATGTCATTTAACTGGTTGTGTGTGAAGTGTATAAAGATAGTGAGGCAAGGTCAAGTGTAGGGAGTTATTGCTTTTGTCTCTGCCTCCAGGGGCCGAATCCACCACCTGGGGCTAACCAGACCTCTCTGTAATCTCATATTGGCGTCTGTAATTGTCTTTTGCTGCTTGAAGATGGCCACAAGGTACAATATTCTGGTCTCATATATTCTCGATTTTGGACTATGGGAAAACCCAGTGTGTGAGCGATAACAGGGCTAGGCTGATATGAGTACTTCATATTGACTTATGAGAGGTACCTCTCACAGGAGATGGGTGACCCTTTTCCAATTTTTTTTAAAATTCTCTCCTCCAATTTTATTAGTTTTTATTCGAGGAGTGAGTTAACTTGTTTATATGAAGTTTTGCTCAAACTGTGCTTCCGAGAGAACAGATGAGATGAGACAAGATGAGAAAAAAATAAGATGAGCTAAGAAAAGCAGAAAGCCAAGACAAAATACAAAAAGAAGAGGTTAATCGAGACAAAAAGAAAGATGAGACAAAAAGAAAAGAGACAAGATGAGAAAAGACAAGATGAAAAAGGGAGGTGAGACAAAACAAGGCAAGAAATGATGCAAAAACTGTATGAATAGAGAGAAGAAAAGAGAAGATGAGACAAGACGACTAGAGTGAAAAGAGATGAGACAAAATGAGAGAAAAAATAAGAAGCTGAGAAAAGCAGCAAGGCAACACAAAACAAAAAGAAGAGGTCAATCGTGACAAGAAAAGAGTTGAGACAAAATGAGAAGAGACACGATGAGAAAAGATAAGTTGAAAAAAGTAAGGTGAGACAAGACGACGAAGTGAAGTGAGATGAGACAAGTGTGAGACAAAACAAAGAGGTGAACTGAGATAAGAAAGGAGAGAAGAGACAAGATGAGACATGACAAGAAAAGACAGGATGAAAAGAAGTGAGCTGAGACAAAAGAAGAAAAAAGAAAATGAGACAAGAATAGATAATAGAAGACAATATGAAGTGAAGTGAGATAGGAGCAAAACAAGGCAATAATACAAGATGCAAATAAATTAATTAAGACAAGAAGAGATGAGACAAGATGAGGAGAGACTAGATGAGACAAAGGTGAGACAAAATTAAGACAAAGCAAGGTAAGAAAAGTTGCAAAAACTGTATGAATTGAGACAAGAAAATATAAGATGAGACAAGCTGACGAAGTGAAGTGAGATGAGACAAGTGCGAGACAAAACAAGGCAAGAAAAGTTGAAAACAAGATGAGTCGATACAAGAAGAGACGAGACAAGATGAGAAGAGAAAGGTCTAGATGAGTAAAGACAAGATTAGATGAAGTGAGGTATGATGAGATGAGCAAGACGAGATAGGAAAAGGAGGTACATTGAGAAAAGAAGAAATGAGACAAGAAGAGTAGAGATGAGCAAAGACGAGACAAAGTGAGGTGAGATGAGACAAGAGCAAGACACAAGACAAGAAATGATGCAAAAACAAGAGGAGACTTGAGACAAGAGAAGAAGAGATGAGACAAGATGAGAAAAAAACAAAAGCAGATAAAGTGAAGTAAGAGGAGACAAGAGTGAGAGGAGACAGGGCATACGATATGAAAATAAGAGGTGAATTAAGCCAAAAAAAGAGAGAAAAGATAAGATGACAAGAGAAAAGAAAAGACAGCACTTAACAAAATGAGGTTAGATGAGATGAGATATAAAAATCAGAGGTGAATCAAGACAAGAAAAGAAGACATGAGATGAGAAGAGACAAGACAAAGCACTGCAAGATGACATAAGGAGAGCAAGACTAATTCTGGCAAGCTGAGAATTTATATGAAGTTGTGGTGAGATGAGACCATGAGAAGAGATGAGTAAAGAGACAAAGAAAAGATAAGAAAAGATGAGACTTGGTAACAAAAAAAAGTGAGACGATAAGATTTGAGGTGAGAGGAGACGAGTTAAGAGGACAGCAAAATAAAGAAGGGCATTGTGACAAACTAGAAGATGAGACAAGATGAAAAGAGAAGAGACAAGATGAGACAAAGTTAGGGTGAGATGAGACAAGAGCAAGAGAAGACAGAGCAAGATAAGATATGGAAATAAGAGGTGAAGCCAAGAAAAGAAGAGATGAGAGAAGAAGAGAAAAGACCAGACAAGATGAGAAGAGAAGAGGTGAGACGAGATGAAGCACTTCGAGATGACACAAGGAGAGGTGAAAAGAGACTAGACAAGAGCAAGACAATTCTGGCAAGATGAGAAATTAAAGGAAGTTATGGTGAGATGAGACCAGAAAATACGACGTGAGAAGAGAAGAGAAGATATTAAGAAATGATATAAGCAAAGACGAGACCTGGTAAGACAAGAAAAAAGGTGAGAAGATGAGGAGATGTGAGGTGAGATGAGAGCAAAATAAAGTAAGCCATTGTGACAAACTAAAAGAAGAGATGAGACGAGATGAAATCAGAAGAGAAGAGAAAGGAGACAGGAGTTCTGAATAAGTCTTAGCAAGCATGCATTGTCATTTCTGCAGAGATTCACTCATTAAAGAGCCTGAAGAGAGACTGAATGAGATCAAGCTGCGTTCTACTTTCAAACACTGATGTCTGAAGACTCCAGAAAGACACCTGGGCTGTTTCAAGTCCCCTTGCCCCACTTAGAGCTGCTCCTGGAGGGACAAAATGTCTTTCTCACTGCCCTCTTACTTCCACAGAGAAAGCACTTCTGGCAGTCTAATGAAGCGCATGCTGGGGGAAATGACCTGACCACATGCGCAAACACACACACACACACACACACACATACACAATGTAACCTCTACAAAGACACAGGGACAGAAAAAAATTCAAGATCCAGAGAAGATAAAAGGAGAGATGGAAAGGTGGTGATAGGACCTATGCTGCTCACACACCCCCAGCACTGAAGCTCTGGTTGTCATGGAAACCTCCTATTGTGTGAGTCGGCCTGGTGCCTTCATGTGTCTCATGCACCCCACACACACACACACATCACACACACACACACACACACACACACACCTCAAGCATTTTACTAAGCAAGAGAGCAATGCATTGTGAAAAACAATTACACTTTCTGGAACATGGCGGGGCACCAGCAGCAAACTGACGGTAAACTTTTTGGGATATAAAATCGACATCTCTCAGTGAGTTTAGTCCAGTCTAAATGTTATGCTGTTGGATACCTGAATGTCAGTCCAATCGGATATGCTTTCCAGAGGACAAATAAACCAGAAAACATGGGTTCTGAAAATGAGACACAACCTTCAACAGAACAGTCACCTAATAGTGGAATTTGGACCCCAACCAGTTCCACACAGACCACAAATCATTTCTCACAGATTAATATTTTCATAAACAAAAATTTTAGCATTTGTGTTCACAATTTTAATCTAAATGATTTCTTTTGAAAATAAGGTAGATATAGGAGTATTTTCCCATTAGAAAAGACTACTTAAGATAACAACATTTACTTAAGATTTTCACATTTAACCATGTATACTAGACTAAGCAGCAGTTTGGAGACTACTTTGTC